TTTATCACATTAACCATGCACCGCATGTGTTGAGTTTCTGCAGACCACTCAATACTCCTATCTTCTAATAGCATCTCCAGCTTAGCACTCATTGTAAAGTTGTTTGAACTGTTATCGGTTGTAATCCACAATAAGCATTCACCCGATAGCATGCGGGGGGAGCAGCGGAGGTGCAGAGGGAGGGCCGGCATTGGGAGGAGGAAAAGAAAAAATGTATTGTTTGTTAACTTCATAGTGTATTTATTTTCCAACCAATACATATCCCCCGCTGGTGCAAATCCAAATTAAACTGTAAGAATAAACGGTAAATTGGCACTCATATTTAACTCTGCAAGCCAAACAAAGTTTTTTTTTTTTTGAACTTCATAATATGTATTTATTGTCCAACCAATACATATCACCCGCTGGTGCAAAATCCAAATACAAGTGTAAAAATACACGTAAATTGGCAGCACATGGGGAGCCGTGCGAGCCGTAGGAAAAGTAAAATGTTTCAAAACACTAAGGCATATCCACATCAACAAAAGCAGACAAGATAGAATCAGGAGCTGGAGACAAAACTAGGTCATAACCAAGACAGTTTGACCAAATGCGGTTAAGTGCACGAAGAACAAGAACCCACTGGGAAAAGGCAGGGGAAGGATAAAAAGGCCGTGGTGAAAGCATATCAAATTGCAATGTCAAGAGGTAGGCGGGGATCGTCAGGCGGGCCCAAATCAAAACTAGCAGACAAACTAGCACGCAAATGTAGACACACAGAGACATGGGCACGCGACACTTCAGGGCCATCATGACAGTTCCTACAATAAGGTCGGGGGTTTGGAAACAGGCGGCCAAGCCGATATAGCAGGAACAAACGAAGACATACTGTTGGGAGATGTTGGTGTGGGGGTAGCAACAAAGGGTGGCGAAGTTTCAAATTGCGGACAGGGGCAAACGAAACTGCAATTGGTCCACTATGTGCAACAGCTAAAGACTGAAAATGCAACATCAACAGATGAAGTGGGGGCACCACAGTCATAGGAACAATGAGATCATTGTGACAAGCGGAAAAATAAGGAGATGAACCATAACCGACTGGAAATAACCGATAGAATTGCAATACAGCAGCTGGTAACAGAGGGCTGGAATCACTAGACCAGCGAGCAAACATACGTGCCTGAAGGTACTTCAGCCTGAACTCAAAAGTAGGAATTTGCGCAAACAGCAACAAACCAACACGCGAAGTGGTATGGGCTAGCGAAAACAGACGACACAGTGCATGATAACAAAAACGCTCGAGTACCTGAAGCTGAGCAGTGGAAGGCAGAATAAGTGCTAAATCAAACTCAAGTGAAGGTCTAATAAAAGACAAAAACAACAACCTGGCAACACGAGGAGCAGACCCACCAAAGTACGAGACATAAGGTGCAAAAAGATACAATGAGGCACGAGCTTTCTCTAAGCGATGATCAATAGTTGCAGCAAGATCAAACCCTTCAATAGTAAAATAGTGACCAAGGTATCTAAATGAAACCTCTACAGGGAGGGCAGAGCCATGAAGCTTCAAGGGGGTGGGTAACTGTTGAGAAGATAACACAGCACACTTTGAAGGTGAAAACACAAAATGAGAAGCTAAAGCAAAATCTTCACAAATTTTCAATGCACGTTGGGCTTGCTCAGGGGTGGCGGAAAACAAAGCTATGTCATCAGCAAAAAACAACGAATTGAAAACAGGAGGATTCACGACGAAGGAGCTGTGCTAAAGGATTGATGAAAACTGAGTACAAGAACGGAGACAAAACAGAACCTTGAAAAAGACCTCGTGGAAGCAAAAACAAATTAGAAGAACGATTCTCTATAACAACCTGAGAAGAACAACGATCAAACATACTCATCAAAACAGAGATCAAACGGTTTGGAATTCTGGGAAATTGACGAAGACGTTCCCACAAAAGAGGCCTATGCACAGTATCATACGCTTCTTTAATATCTAAGAAAGTAACACAATAAGGCAGAGCAGTGCGGGAAGCCCGTCGAAGGGTAGCATCTAACAAAAACACACTCAACACCTGAACGATTGGCCTGGAAACCAGCTTGGGCGGGATCAAGTTTACCAACATGATCTACAAGCATAGGAAGCAGGGTACGCTCAAAGATTTTTCTATCAACATTGGTTAAAGTAATGGGGCGGTACTGACTAATATCACCTATGGAGCCCTTATTCTTCCAAACAGGTAACAACAAGCCAGCATCCCAGGCAGAGGGCGACAAACCTGAACAGAAAATAGCGTTTGAAAGTTGAACAAAAAGGATAGCAACATCACAAGCTAACGGCTTAAATAACTCAGCTGGAATATGGTTTGGGCCAGGAGCAGAGTTGTTTGGGGAAGAACGAATAGCACAAACAAAGTCACTAACACTAACTGACACAGAATCATTCAGCGCATGTAGACGAACGTGTTCTGCACTGGCAGAGGATTGTGCAAACTGAGTCTGATAAACAGAGGCAAAGTGATTGCGATAATGAGATAAAGAGGCAGGATCAGACAATAAACCACTTGCAGCTGAGCGCCGTTGATGACACCTACGCGCGGTGGAAAGAACTTTGCTAACCTCGGTTAAAGAACTAGGAGAAGAACTAAACATATTGTCGCCAGAAGCCTCTCGAGCTCGCTGAGAAAGAGACCAAGTACGAAAAGCTTTGACACGCTCACGCGATAGCCGGTCACGCTCCAAGCGGCAATACTCAACTAAACCAGGATCAGGATCATCACAGGAAGAAACAGCTAAATAGTGCTTATGAGCAAGTAAGTAGCTCCGTTGCAAGGCCACTAAATGCGGCGGCAACAATGGCAGGGCAGGGCGACGGCGAACTAAACTGGGGGGTCCAATGACACAAGCAGCACATGAAGTAACAAAGGACAAAATAATATCCAATGCAGAGTCAATAAATCCCTGTGCAACATCCACAGACATTTGGGCAAAGGCGGGAGCTTCTAAAATTGGACTGAGCGCAGCATTGACATCAGCAAGGGTGGGATCAAAAACCAAATGTCCCACCTCCTCCATTGCTTGAAAGACAGCAGGTTCACGCAACAGATGAGCAGCCCAGCGCTTGTGGGGGGTGCAGCAGAGGGAGCGCTGGCATTGGGAGGAGCAAAAGAAAAAACAGCTGTAACCGGAAAATGGTCAGAAGCCCAAGGCATAAACTCGCCGTCGGCTAGACGACTATGAACTATGTAAGAAATAGGATCACATTGAAGCAGAGGATTGACAAACAACAAATCGATAATAGAGTCACCATTGCGAGAAGAAAATGTGGGGTTATGACAGGAAGGGTGCTTAACTAGAGAGAAACTAGCGGCAGAAATAAATTGCTCAAACAACCTACCCCTACGATTTGAAGAATGATCACCAGTAGCTAAAAAACGGGCATTGAAATCGCCCAACAAAAGAACAGGGCACGGAAACGACGGGACATGTTGAGGAAGTGAAGCAATAAACTCTTCAAGGAAGGGGTCCTGAGCAATACCACACGGAGGCAAATAATACCCTCCAACCAAAAGCCCACGAAATGTAAACCATAGAGAGGTGCCACCATAACTAGAAACGAGACGGAAATCAGAAGCTCTACAAAGACTGCGATTGATCAAGACTCCCACACCAGCCCGTCGTGTACCCGATAACCCAGGAGAAAAACGAGTGTCAAAAATCAAATCTGGGGAAGGCAGCGGGTCTAAAGGAAAAAGGTGTGTTTCAGTCAGGAGCAGAAAAACAATGTGATTTGCGCGCATAAAACAAAACAGTGAATCAAGAACTCCAAAGCTCAAATTTCGACAATTGAAGGTACCAACTCGAACACTAATCATTGACGAAGATGGGTTGAGCGAGGCTGACGCGCAATCCCGCGGGCACTGTCCAGCACAGTTTCCTGAGCATCCATGGGGAGCTGACCACAGACATACAGGAAAATAGCAGGATCAGTAACTGAACTGAGGATATGTGCATATCTCTTGTGGACAACTTCCCTGACCGCAGCCTCCCGCTGCTCCAAAGGCAGAGTAGAGGCTCGGCGAAGAAAGTCAGGGTTTGATTCGTCAGTGGAAGCTTCCTGGGTGGAGAAGTGCGCACGGAGAGCAATTGCGGTTGAGCGAATACAGATAAAGGAAGCAATGTTGCGACCAACAAAACTGATGTGGCGGATACCACGCACCACCTCATCGCCCAAGAGAGCCCTCAGCATGGTCTGCACAAAGCCGAGCCGCTGTCTCATGATGTCCTTGATGTACACAGTGGTCAAATCATCCACACGGGCCTGAAGATCAGCAGGTGGGGAGACCAGCAGCGGAGAGGTCGGAGGATAGAATACGACAGGCCGAGGGCCACGAAGGCTGACATTCGAAGTGGGGTCACGACCAGCAAGGGTAGTCCTGACAGCTTCTGTACGAGATTCAGCACTCAGTGTGGGGAGACTCTCAAGCACACGGGCACGGGCATTGGCAGCAGCGGCATAAGTGGGTGGACCACGAGGTCCACGTGGGGCAGGTCGACTAGACGGGGGGCGAGGGCCAGGAGCACCAGAGTTCCCAAGATTGTCCTGAATTGGAGGATTACCATGCAGTTGTCTAGGGGGAAGGCACACAGGCGCAGCCACATCATCATGGCGGGAGACAGGGGCAACCGGAGATGAAGGCGAAGGCAGCGGCCTCCCAAAGCGACCCACCAGAATGTTATAACATGTATTGACAATGCTTAATCAGTACATGTCACCCACGTGTACTTCAACCAAGATTTGGAATCTTCAGTACTTGGGGAGCCGTGCGAGCCGTAGGAAAGAGGAGCGAAGGCAATGGCGAATCGAAGGAGGTGTGGCGCGGTACTTGCACGTGACACGATATTGCGAGAGATATATTTCGTAGGAAATTCGAATCCAGTCCCCTATAGGATTCGAACCGCGGAGTTTAGCTTCGAAAAGTCGCATTCGTACCGACTAAGCCACTATGAGGTCTATGATGGCCGGGCAGATGGCCGAGTGGTTAAGGCGCTAGATTTAGGCTCTAGTATCTCCGGATGCGTGGGTTCAAGTCCCACTCTGCTCACTGTTGCGTAACTTATTGAAAGAATAGTTTTTTAAGGGATGATTTCCAGCAGGTACATTTACATCAGGTATGTTTTTCAGCACGGCTGGATAATCAGGATCTAGATTATAACGCTGCTGGTTAATACGAAGGGAAATTATCACCCCTTAGCAAAGAGGGAACTTGTACTAATCAGCGCGCAGCAATTTTCCGGTTTGTTTTAATGTCCGGAGGTTTTGTACATCCAGTGAGCATCATGGAGCACGTGCAAAACCTTTTAAAGTGGGGAAAAGAGATAATCCAGGAACATATAAGTTAACAGTCGTCTGGCGCAATAGTGAAGTCGTTTGTGGATCGCCGGTCGGGAGACACCCACAATCATGACACACCAGTTGTCGGAAACGCAATCGAGTTGGCGCATCCACAATCCATCAGTTCTTCTTCTGCCGTTTCTTGGGCGGTACTTCCTCCTCCTCCTCTTCCTCCTCCTCCTCTTCCTCTTCAGCTTCTTCTTCGGCGTTTTCGTCTTCATCTTGTGCCCAGAGTTAGCCAATCATATGGTTTGGTTAGGACAATTTTACATACCTTCGCCTTCAAGTTCCTCATCTCCTTCACCCTCCTCTCCTCCTTCAGCGTCTAAGCGAAACGAATGATCGAATGGTGAGCCATGATCCAATTTTTCAGAAGCGAGGAATACTACCGTCTTCACCGTCATCCTCTCCTGCAAATAACAGACACTTCAGCATGGACTCTACTAAAAATATTTCCTCGACACACCTTCAGATTCAACATCTTCACCTGCATCATCCTCCCCATCGGCTGCTTCCCCTTCGACTGCACAAAGTACGTAAATCACATTGATAGAACGCATGGTCTTTGAAAACGAACCGTCCTCCTCGCCTTCTACTTCTTCATCATCGTCGCCGTCGCCTTCTAGCTCTGCATATAAGAAAGATTCCCAAATAATGAAACAGCTACGAACCGTTTAATTCCTCCCCGTCATCTCCATCGTCATCGTCATCATCATCATTCAGCTGAGCGACAGAGACAGCCTTTGATGCAGCCTTCGAAGGCTTTGAACGGGCAACCAGCTTCTTTGCGTCCGAGTGAAGTTGATCGAAGATATTGCTAAGCTCTTCACATCCTTGGATAATATTCACCAAGAATGCCGTGTTCTACAATCAAGAGCGAGCCGAGCAAATCGTTTAGTGCACGTAGGTAGCCCAAATCCACAATTTCGAGTACTGACTGCTGTTTCAAGAGACTTCACTCCTTCCTCAGAGTTGCCGTTGCTTGGTGGTTCTGCGGCGAGGCTCGACATGACTACGAAGAAGCTGAGAATGAGAAATATTAATGAGTGCCGATGCAAAGGACTGTATCCAAGGGGCCTATGATGAATCCACAATTCTGTGCAATGGAAGGGTCTATCACGCTCCGGATATCAGTACCTTGAAGCGGTGTTACGAATTGAAGCGTAAGATCCGGGCGACCGAGGTGTGTTCCAGCACAGTGATTTGGTTGGCAGATTTTGTTCTGGAAGGACCAAAAAATTGGGGATGGGGGACTGGATTTAACACGTTGGGCGTGGCGAGGGATTGCGGATTGTATCCGTTGCCAGGGATACTATCCAACAAAAGGGCAGCACTAAAAAATAATAATAAGACGAAATTGTGCGTTCGGTGCACCCAGCTTCCATGCTTCGCTTACTTGCACACTTTGTGCAGATCCGCCCTTGATTTTTCACATGTTCGGCTTTCCCGAACGATAAATCGCCGGTGCATTCCATTAGTCACGTGTCAGGTCAGTGGGCAGCGAGCGAAATGGACTACGAGCCCTTAGAGCCTTCCCTTCAGAACGTGTTGGACCAGCGATCCCTCAAATGGATTTTTGTTGGAGGAAAGGGTGGTGTCGGCAAAACTACTACATCATGCTCCCTGGCAGTCCAATTGTCAATGGTTCGCGAATCGGTCCTTTTGATTTCCACCGACCCTGCGCACAATCTGTCTGGTATGTTGGGCTAGCACAAGATCTCTCCCGTATCGATTACAATCTCTGCGGGTGGTGTATTAGATGCCTTTGGTCAAAAGTTCTCCAAGACGCCTACCTTGGTGACGGGTTTCAACAATCTCTTTGCCATGGTGGGTTGAATTGGCCATTGCTGCTGAACTGTTTATTTAAATGTCTACTAGGAAATCGATCCCACAGGAAGCATTCAGGAAATGCTCGAAAACGGTAAATGATGATGGAAGCCCTCGAGATTCGGTTAAAATTAACTCCAGGTTCGCAGCACAAGATGGTGGTACTCTCCAGTCGCAATTCCAGGACATCGCCTTCGCCATTCCTGGTGTTGATGAAGCCATGAGTTTTGCCGAAGTCATGAAGTGTGTTGAGATCGCCAAGGAACAATTTAATGCTCATCACAATTCATTGAAAGATTGGTCAAGTCGATGGATTACTCATGCATCGTGTTTGATACCGCACCGACAGGACACACTTTGCGTTTCCTGTCGTTCCCTACCGTATTGGACAAAGCCCTTGGAAAACTGTCTCAGTTCAGCGGCCGTTTTGCTCCCTTGATGCAGCAGGTGAATTTATTCGGTGATTCTGAAGAATCTTCTTGATAACTGTTTCTATGCGCAGATGAGTGGAATGATGGGGCTGAATGCCAATGCAAACCCAGAGGAGGACATGCTCTCAAAACTCGATAGCATGCGCAAAACTATCCAGGAAGTGAATGCACAATTCCAGGACCCGGTATGTAATGTACTTCAAAACTCAAAAAGCTCTAAACTTCACCGCTGCAAGGAAAAAACAACGTTCGTTTGCATTTGTATTTCCGAGTTCCTTTCATTGTACGAAACTGAGCGCATGATCCAAGAATTAACCTCGTTCCACATTGATACCCACAACATTGTGGTAAACCAGCTGCTCCACCCGAAAGCAGGTAATAGTTGTTAGATTAGACTTGGAGGTTCATCTCATTTTTCGGCGGTCAATAGACTCGACTTGCGAACAATGCAACGTAAGATATAAGATGCAGCGAAAGTATCTCGATCAGATTCATGACTTGTATGAGGACTTCCACGTTGTGAAGCTGCCGTTGCTCACAAACGAGGTTCGAGGAGTTGAGGCGATCAAGAGCTTTTCAAAGAACTTGATTACGCCGTACGAGTTTTAGTTCAGAAACAGAAGCAAATGTAGTGCTCAGGGTTGATACATCAGAATATTGAAACTCTTCTAACTTGAACATTGCAGCGAGCTTTCATAGAATGGAGACTTGGCTTTGATGGCCGGTAGTCTGATGGCCCAATGACTTTTCCGAGGGAACCAGGAAATCGGCCGCTACTTTCTGTACCTCCACTTCCGCCTGCTTGCCCCAAGTTGCTTTCAAATATACAGTAACACGGAAAATTCCTAGTCCAGCATCTATCTTCGTCACAGACGGAACCTTGTCCCCACATGAGTGCATATCGGAAACCTCTTGCACAACACATCCTGAACTTTTGCAATCTTCTCACCCGCTCTTTCCGCACCGACAAGGTCGATAAGTCCCAACCTGGCAAGGGTAGGGTACAGGTGCACTATTTCACTAAGACCATCTAAAATACAACAGACAGAGACGTTCCGGCAAGTTTGATCTCGTAATCGAGGAAGACGGGTGCTTTTATCCGTTCCACCTACATGATTTAAACTAAAGTGAGATCACACTATGTTTTGTACTCCGGAACCACATGCCTTGTTGCGGACTCCACCGTGAACTAGCCGCCTACGACGAGCAAGCTAGATCATAAGAAAGCTCCGCAGAACGGGAGTGCGTCTACTTGCAATGGAACCTCTCCTCTTTTGTAACTTTCGCCAAATACGCTGATTGCTTTCTTTGTCCAGATGGACACATCAGTAGCTGAGCTAATTTTCGCGCTGCTTTTCTTGCGATCCCCTTCCGCTGCAATTGCTGCATCACGCATTATTGTTGTCTTTCCTTGCTTGCTTGTCAGCGGATCTTTTGAAACTTGGAGGTGATTTTGGACTGCTTTGAGTTCTCGACTGCCAAGAAACTTGGAGCTGGCCGAACTGATCGGATTTCGTCCATGTGATGATTTGTGTTGGGCATGTCCCGAACACTGCACGGGCGACTCACTGGATTAATCATTTGGATACACACTCCGAACATCACGATTGGGGATGAATCGTGACGTGTCCTCATTCCAAGCATCAAAAAACCGTCCCAACCACGCCCCGATGTACAGACTTCCATTTGGATCAAGCTCGAGCAAGTCTTCAGCAACGTAGTGTGAAGTCTGTCTGTTAGACCGACGGACATGGTAAAACGGCTGGTTCCTTCCCCGTGGAAACACATTCGTGCGACGCAGATCCATGTCACAAACAGGATCCCATCCTACAACGACAGCCTTGTTCAAGAGAGAGAAATCAGTGTCCATCATTACGAGTCGCAAACTGAAACGCACAGAGTAATTTTCTCGGATGTTTCGCACTACTTCCCCAATTCGAAAACGAACAGCTATTGTATCGCTGCTGTTTCGTCGACGTTCTGCCCTGGCCAGTACATCCTCGTCCTGGGCGTCCATCACTCCCGCGGGTCCTCTGTCTTCGTTTCTGATTTTTACAGCAACGGTCTCCAAAAGAGTTCGGAGCCGCCCCATTTCTGCAAGCTCGTGTCGGTTCAGCCGTTGCAGGAGGACATCCAGAAACCACACGTCCTCTGGCTGATCCTGGGAGATGATATTGCTCACGCGCATCAGAATGGTACTGAAAGTGTCATCGGGGCCGGAAATGCACAAGAGGGACAAAAATGAGCAGTACATGCACTCGATCAGCGTCCCTCCACCTGCATGCAAAGCAGATCCGGATGTGGAAGCAAGAACAAGGTTGTTTGCGCAACGAATGTAGACACCTCGATCTGATAACGGCTGCAAAATCGACAGATTGTTGGCGAATCCAACATGGCGGAGGTTATGAAGCGATTGTTGACAATCTCGCTCACTTTGGAAACTGTCGGGATT